TGTATTGAATAACGTGTGATTTTGTGTGCCTCTTGTTATTTTGTGGCCTGGTTACAAAATCTGACCAACTCCCTCTTCATGGATGGTTGCCAGACGCATGAAATAACATACTCTTTTTCGTTCACTAATATTTTAATTTATAATTAGAAGATAATATAAAAGAGAGTTTAGTTTTGATATTTAAAGAATTAAAAATTAAGATTAATTTTATTACATTCTCAATATAATTAGTTTTATATTATTAATTAATAATAATATGTTACAAAAATACCTTTTAAATTAATTATTATAAAAGTCAATAATTTGTACTAATATGACAATCCATGTGTAAAAATATTTACATCATCGGTATATTCTAATTAGATTCTTAAAAGTTCCTGCAGAATCAACTTTTAAAACATTTATTATAAAGTTTAATTTTGATAAACTGTCATTTTAAACATTTTTATATTCTTAATAAGTTAGATTCTTAAGTGTGACTTTAAAATTATTTCAAAAGTGAATGATTCTCATCAATGTCATAATCCACAATTAGATGACAGTATAAATTTTTTTTTACGTAGTTAGTATATTTAAATTAACTAATTTATTAAAAATTTAACAATTTTAATTAGATTTTAATGTTAACATATTAATAACGTAAAATTCTGTATACGATTAATAAGTTAAAATTTATCTTAAATATAAATTTTAAAAATTATTATAAATATTAATATTTTTTAGGTTTAATTATTTTTTAGTTCCTATAAAAGTAACCTTTTGGGATAAATCCTTAAAAAATTATTAAGATTTATTCCCAACAAAAAAATAAAATAAAATGTAACGAGTTAGTCTCTGCATTAACTATTTCTTTTTAGTGATAAGTTAGATAGTGGAACTTCAGCTTATTACAGTCACATTATAGTTATTTTTAATATTTCATTATTTAAATAATAATATTTATAAAAAATTCTTAAAAAAATATATTTTATTTTTAAAAAAATAATAATTAATGTATTTATTTTAACATCATTTCTTACCGTCATTCTCTCTCTTTTTTCACTTTTTACAACTTCACAGCATCACCTTTTCCATCTCCACCGACGCTACTACTCTCCAACATATAAGCTTTCCATCATCTGAGATTTGGAATTTGTTGAGACAAGTTTTTTGTCTATAAATTTGTAACATTTTTTTAGTTTTATCCCTTTGTCAAGGTTTCTTTCACTATTTTTGCCTTTGTAGTCTCTGAGATGCTGCAAGAAGGAGACACAATTTTGAAAGTAAAACTCTCTTTTAAATGAAATTGTTACATTTTTGTTAGAATTAATTTGATGAGTGAATTGATTTAGTGAGTTTTTAAAAGTAATGAGAACATGAGAGAAAAAAAGGACCCTAAAAAAATAATATTAATTTTCTAAGAATTTTATTAAAAATATTATTTTTATATAAAAAATAAAAAAATAACGATGATGTGATAATAATAAATTAAATTTTCATTATCTAACTCAACACTTAACAAAATGATGATAGAAAGTAAATTCTTGCATTTTAAAAATGTTAGAAATTAAATTCTAACAATTTTTAAAAAAATATATATATCCCAGAGAATGCTATTTTTATTGAAACAAAAGTATAACTAAGTCTAATTTTTAATTATATAATAATTTATAATTAGATAATAATATAAAAATTTTTACACTTTCATCATATTTTGATTAAATTTTTTAGTATGTGAGTTATATGGATATAATTTCTCCAATATTAAAGAATTGAGTCTGAAGTATTGAAGTAAGGGATATAAAATATAATTATTTCAAGAAAAACGGATATAGCGTATTAAATGCTAATATTAGGAGAGAAGTATAATTAATCACTCCCGACGGTTTGCTTGATTATAAGAAATCTCTATTATTACTCTCATATTTATTGTTATTGTTTTAGATAATTTTTTATTTCCAATATTGGTTTGTTATATATCTAAATAATAGTTGCGAAATTATATAAATTGAATTGAATACAAAGTGGCGTCATAATATGAAAAGAAGAATTGAAAAGAAATATCACTCCAACCAAGCATGTAAAGTAATTGTTTGGTTTTAACTTCAAATAGAGATTACATACCTTCCTATGTATGAAAAATCTGTTAAGACTCGGTTTTTTAAAAGTGAAAAAAAATTGCTTCTCCACGAAAAAATCTCAACTTATTATGTTAATCCAAACTCCAAATAAATCGATCCTTTGTCAATTTGATTTTACCATTTCAGAATTTTTTTAATGGAAATAAAATATTGATTACACTTCAAATTGCGTACGAAATTTTTGAAAAAAGTGAAACTTATTACTCTTAGCACGACAAATCAACTCAAACAAAAAAGGGTTAAACTTTATGGAAAAAAAATGTATATCACGCGTATGCATGCTAAACTGTGCTCGTAATAAACTAGTGTCTAATGCAGCACATGCATCTAAGGATGCAAATTCTATTCGTGACAAGGTAAAAAACAATGATTCGATGGAGAGAGAGAGAAGAAGGGTGCATTTGCAAAACCAAATAAATGGGGCCACAGCATATTAATGCCTTCTGTTAGCGACATTTCCAACTGTTAACTCCGTTACAACGACGCATCCTTCTTAAATTCAACTAATAACTAGAATGGCAGTAGAATGAGAGAGAAAGGAAAGAGCACGAGTAACTTGTCGTGAAAACATATTAAATTAGCCTCGGAAGATCCCACCGGACCAGGATCTCCTACGTCAACAAAATAATAACTAAATTATATTTTTATTACGTTTAGTATCATCAATACTTAACTTTGGTTATTCTATAATTAATTTAATAATTCTTAAGGTAAAACAAAGTTTTATTAATAACTTAATAATTTTTTTATTTTATAATTTTATTAAAAAAAATACGAATTTTTCAGTGAAACAAATTATTATTCATCCAAAAATTATTTTTAAAATATCAAATCAATTATTTACGTTCTAGAAGTGCATTGTTATTTATTGATAATAGATATATCTTAAATTAAAACAAAGAGATGGGTCAACTACTTGACTAGACATCTCCCCCTCCAACATCACGGCATCACCTTTCCAATTGTGGAATAAAGCTGCACTTATTGTTCCAATTTATGCCAAACAAAAGTAGATGGAGTATATCATATTCTACCAATTACACAACCTATGAAATGCATCACGTGTAGAAATATTATAAATACATTTTATTTAAATTATCCATAATTTTTTTAATTTTACAATTTTGACTGATATTAAGAAAATAAAAATATTCAAAATATAAAATTACTTCATTCCATTTTAATTAAAAAAAATACATTTTATAGGTTTTGTATGTTGTTTTATATACTGAGTGAAATTTAAATTTGTTTTATTATATTTTGTAAATTCTGTTCCTTATTTAACCAATTTTTATTTTTTGTGCATACTAAAAATATTCTCTGGTCAACAGTTAAAAATTATTTTCCTTATCATATAAATATTAGTAAAGTAAATTTTGTCTCTGTTAAAAATATGATTATCTATCAATTTTGTCAGATTTTATTATTTAACCAAATTTATTTGTTATTTAGCAAGATGCTCATGAATCTTATTTTTAGCAGAAATTTTTATTATTAGTTGAAACTTATTATAAATAAAATATTATATAATTTCCACTTTTAATTTGATGAACGTACTCATAATATTATAATTTTAATAAATTTTACTTAAAAATAAATTATTAAAAGAAGTGTTAAAAATATATTCTCCTAGTTTGAAAAAGATTTCGCTCATCAATCATTACCCTTTCTTTTTTGTCTTTAAAATTATGATTTTATGTAATCATGAATTACCAAGTAAACTAAGAAATTTTATCATTAAAACTATTTAATTTTATAATAAAAATTACTACCACAATTATTTTGACATTTTATAACAAAATTAATTTGCACTTACCATTTTAAAACACGATTACTGTGATTAAAAGAGGTAAAACAGAGTTAAGAAAGTTGGAAATGCTAACACAAACAGGTTTTTATTTTAAAATAAATTTACAATTATCATATTTTAAAACATTAAATAAATTTTATTAGACTAAAATTCTAAAAAAAAAAGATTATGTGTAAAAATTATTATAATTTAAAAAAAGTAATGCATTTTTAAAAACGATTTAAATTGATTTTGTACGAAATGTTTTGTTTTAATTAATATTAAACAAAGGAATTTTTTAAATGATGAGAATTTTAAATTAATATTTTGCGAGAGTGAATTTAAAATTTTACCGTTAAAGAAGAGATTTTTAAAATTCCCTTCCATCTACCATGCTGCTTCAATGTTGCATCTTCTCTTCCTCCACCACAAATATTAAATACATCATTCCCATAATAATTCTCTTATCTAACATTAATTCTCCAAAAGCATACTCTAATGAGTTTCAATCATTTTAACAAAGTTACAAAATATGGTAAACATTGAAATAGATTTTTTTTTTCCCATGAATTGCAATTTCACAAAGTTGAATAATAATATTACAATATCAAGATTCAAAAAGTAAATTGCATTATACGAAGTTAATTTTCCACCTTTATGATAAGTTTTATTTTATAAATAAAAAATTAAAAAAATCAATTTTATAAATGACAAAATTTAAAATGCTAGAATTTAAATTCTTATGATTTTAAACTTTTAAAAATTAAAAAGTATCAGTTCAAACGATCAAAGCGATGGGTGAAAATATTGTATTTATTTACTGCTAAATTTAACGGATGCTAATATTTTTCAAATAAATAATTAATGAAAAAATAGAGAAAAAGGGAGCTACGTGGCTCCTTCCAGCCTCGCACGTGTATTTATAAAGAAAAAAGAAAGAAAGGGAGGAAAAAGAGGAGAAAAAGAAGGAGGGCAATATGGTAAATATGAGAATAGAAGAGTATAGAACTTGGAATGAGAACTTTGAAAGAGAGGCGGGCGGGAGGGCCAGGTGGATTGTATATAACAAAGTGGCTGGGCGCTAATTCGGTGCCACTCACACAATCGCTGGCCCTATCACACACACCCTATTTTTATTATTATTAATATTTCTCTGCCTTTTACTTTCCGAATTCAAAAATAACAAAACGCCACCCAGAAATTTAGGCCTCCATTTCCAAAATATAACGACAACAAAACCAAGAAGAAAAAAGAAGAAGAAGAAGAAGAAGAAGGAGAGAAAGTGCGCAACGGGAATAAGGGGGTCTTCTTCTCTCCCCGTTTCAGCTCTTCCCTTTCTTCTTTTCTTTTTTCTTCTCTGCTTTGCTCCAGTGAGGTACCAAACGCACCGTTTTCTTCCTCCCTCTCTCGTCTCCTCTTCTGCTCTATTTCTAGCCGTTGCGTCGCCCGTTAAATCACCTTTCTAAACTTGCTTTCATTTTCTCCTTTTAAATTTGCTTTTACGAAATCCCACCTTTCTGCATTCCGACGAGCATTGGAGCTCATGAAATCTTTTTGGCTTTAATTTTCCTGCAGATTATTTTAATTTCTGTGAATTTTGGATTTTTTTTCTTTTAAAATGGGCCTCGAATACAATCTTAGTTTGCGGGGGTTTCTAGATTAAAAGTCAGATCTGCACCGACTTTTGCACGGCCTTTGCATTTATTGTATATTTATTCGCTAATTTATTAGTGTCTGAAAAATGTTCACCATAATTGCACTGTACACTTTCTTCCGTGGCATATTATTCAGTAACATATAATTCATATCGGTGTTTTAATTCTTTTAAAATATAATTTTGTAGATTTGTTAATCAATATCTGAAATTGGAGATTAGGAGAGAAGTCATAAGAAGAAATTTAAATATCACTTTGAACTTTTCATGCAGGTCTGAAGAATTAAGAGATCATGGTTGCAACTGCTGCTACGGCGTCGTTTTTCCCGGTGACTTCACCTTCAGCAGATTCTGGTGGAAAAGCGAAGAAACTTGGTGGTCGCGCTGCGAACCTTGGAGGACTCAAACCGAAACAAGTTTCTTCTGGTGGCTTGCACGTGAAGGCAAATGCACAAGCCCCTCCCAAGGTTAACGGAACAGTGGTGGCTACCCCTGTGGAGAGCGTGAAGCTTGAGGATGATTTTCCCTCAGCACCTCCTCCGGCAAGGACCTTCATCAACCAGTTACCTGATTGGAGCATGCTTCTCGCCGCCATCACGACGGTGTTCCTTGCCGCCGAAAAGCAGTGGATGATGCTCGATTGGAAGCCTAGGCGACCCGACATGCTCATTGATCCCTTTGGTATAGGAAAGATTGTCCAGGATGGGCTTGTTTTCAGGCAAAACTTTTCAATTAGGTCATATGAGATTGGCGCCGATCGAACCGCGTCTATAGAGACGTTAATGAATCATTTGCAGGTGTGCTCATGTGAATGAAACTTTGATTATGATGCTTTTGGAGACAATCTGGTTGTTGGTTTAGTCACTGTGCAGGTTGAAATTCTAAAGCAGATAACTGCAACTTGGTGTTTTTTTGTTAATTGTTTGTTTTAACAACAGGAAACTGCACTTAATCATGTTAAGACTGCTGGGCTTCTTGGTGATGGCTTTGGTTCAACGCCTGAAATGTGCAAAAAGAACCTGATATGGGTTGTAACACGCATGCAGGTTGTGGTTGATCGATACCCTACGTGGTAAGTTAGTCTGGCTCGCCTCTTTTTAATGTCAGAATTGCTAAGGGGTCCAATGTTCAGCTGTTATCATCTTTACTATGACTATAATATCTAGCTGCATGTTTTAGTACTCGTGCATTTCTTCTGTTGTTTATGCATCTTGTTTCACAAAATGGCATAATAGTTGGGAACTTGGGATTTAAAGCATGCTCGGCAATAGATTATGAATTGTTCTTAAATTTATTTATTTATATTTCAAAAGCTATGTCAGGAAGTTGTAAAAAAGAAAAAGAAACGGTTCTTTAAAATAATTTAATCCAAATACGCACTTTGCTTCTTTAATATTTATGAAATTCTTCTTGGATGGTAATAGATCTTATAAACATAATCTGTATACATGATGAAATACGGGAAGTCCTTTTCCTTAAGGCTGTTAGACTTTGTTTACCTTATTTGGTAAAAAGTTGAATTGCAGATACAGTTTTTCTGAGGAAGCAACTTATACCATGTGCACTTTGCATATTGCTCTCTTCAAGACTAAATGTTTTAATTTGGTTTGGCATGAGCGTTGGGAAACAAGTTGGAGAAATTATGATAATCAATGTGGAATATTCTAAGTCTGTTCGTCTGAAGTTGACTGAATCTATATTTGCTTCAGGGGTGATGTTGTTCAAGTAGACACCTGGGTTTCTGCTTCAGGGAAGAATGGTATGCGTCGTGATTGGCTTGTGCGTGACATCAATACTGGTGAAATCTTGACAAGAGCCTCCAGGTAGGAATCAGTTTTTGGAACTTTATCCCTCCTTTCTTCTATTGCATGTAGCATGTTGGGTGATTGGGCACTGTTTTCAATCTCACAAGCTTGTACGAAGTTATGCATTATTATATTTACTACTTCTAATACGCCACAATTGAAAATCAAAATATTCAGTTCAGTTCACTTTTCTCATGCATTTGAAAATCTTGATAAAGGCATATATTTTAAGTACAGCAATGAATTATAGAGTTAAGTATATGCATGATTGTGGGTCAGAATTTCTGAACCTACAAGCAAAAATTAACTCATCTACATGCTGCATCTTGGTGCTAGTAACTAATAAGCATTTTCTAATCTGTTGGTTTCTGTTTTGTTGTTCTACAGTGTTTGGGTCATGATGAATAAACTAACAAGGAGACTGTCTAAAATTCCTGAAGAAGTCAGAGGAGAGATAGAGCCTTATTTTGTGGATTCTCCTCCGGTTGTGGAAGAGGATAACAGAAAACTACATAAACTTGATGATACAGCTGATTTTAAACGCACTGGTTTAAGTGTATGTCAACTCTTGTAATTATTACCGTTGATTATTTTATAAAATAGATCAGATGTTTTCTAATTATATTATATACTTAGTTATAGCAGGATAAGACTTGGTTGTTTTTGTTGTTTTCTAACTATATTATATAATGTATGTATATTTTCAGCCCAGGTGGAGTGATCTAGATGTTAATCAGCATGTTAACAATGTGAAGTACGTTGGGTGGATTCTTGAGGTAGTTTTTCTGTTCTTGTATTCATGTTTATTCCAACCTTCTTCTTGGTCTCTGACTTTCTGCCTGGGTGGATGGGATTTATTACTAGAGCTTGTGTGACTAGGGTCCGAGTGCCTGACAATTTGAAAATTGCAAGACAAGTTGAATGGTGACTGGGACACCCACTTTCTTCTCAAGACACTCTTCAGACCATTGGATCTGTGATAGTGTGCCAAAGCACAGTTAGTTTGTTCTTTCAACAGGAATTTAGGTGCGAGTATCATTGCTTTTGCAGGTTTAGCTACTGAAAGTGTTGGGTAAGATCATGTTCCAGACTTCCAGTTCCATCAAATGAAAAGTTGTTTGAAGACAACTTTTAATTGTGGAATAATTGTGGGCATTTGATGCCTCATGTGGGAAGTAAGGTGGTTTGTCCCAGTTTGAAGTGGCTTGAAACTTGTAACATGTTCTTTAGTGATATGCGATGGTGGATGGGAAAATAGAGCAGCACTTTTCCTTTGCTTAATCTTTAGTGTCTTACTTATATTTTCCTCTTTTTGATTAATGTGTTCTTTTAAGGGGAAGAAAAGTTGATATGTTTGTTAAGTATTATTAGATTTTGATCAGGCCACTTAACCAAAGGATTGTGCTTTGACTGCTGCAGAGTGCACCACAGCCACTTTTGGAGAATCATGAACTGTGTGCCATGACTTTGGAGTACAGGAGGGAGTGTGGCAGGAACAGTGTGCTGGAGTCCCTGACCGATGTCTCTGGTGTTGATGTAGGCAATTTAGCGGACGGTGGATTTGTTGAGTGCAAGCACTTGCTTCGACTTGAAGATGGTTCTGAGATTGTGAGGGGTAGGACTGAGTGGAGGCCCAAACCTGTAAACAACTTTGCAGTTTTGAGTCAGGTTCCAGCAGAAAGCACCTGAATATTGGCTGGCATCAATTGAGTGGCGTCAAGTTCCTAGGTGCAGATTGGATCTACCTTTGGAGAGCTTTGCTTGTTTTTATCAGATCTGTGTCTTAAATGTATGAAATTTGTGTTACTTTGGCGGGTAGAAAATGGGGAGGGGGAAGTAAAAGCAAATCTCATTCTCATTGTATTTATCTCCTGCACTACTCTCCCTCGCTCGCTGCTCCATCGTCCATTTCATTTATGGTTATGCTACTGCTAGGTGTCATCAATATTTAATTGTTTCATCGAAATGGCCAAGCATGTATATTACTAACGTTTTTTCCACTCTTTTCCCTTATTAGAAAGATGCAATTTTCCTCATGTACATGCCAAAAAAGCCAAATATTATTGTATGTGTAACTGCAAGGCAAGAATAAGTAATTGCTCAAAACTTGGGTGTGGGTTTGATTGGCTTTTGTCTAATACGAATGCATACTCTGGATTGTAGTAGGGTTTGCGATCCACATAAGAGCAATAATCATGGTACTTTCCCATTATAAATGGAATAAAAATAAGAGTGGGATTACTTTTGAAATTAAGCGGTATTTCTTTTGCAAGGGAATGAAAACATAACTTGAGTAATTTTTAAATTTACATTTTAATTTATTTTAACTTTTATGTATTTTGTTATGCTTTAGTTTTGACTTTTATAGCATTGTTAAAGATAGAAAGAAAAATAATAAAATATTTGTGTAAGAAAAATTGTAAATTTTTTAAAGTATAGGAGCTAGTTTATAAGTGAGTATAAATTATAAGAATTAAATGTATATTTTAATTACAATATTTTAAGATAAAAAAATAGTTGAAAAATGATATTAAAGATGACTTATTTATTATAAATTATTATTTGTAATGATGTAATTGCTAAGTTAATATGAGATATGAATGTGTAGTTGAAAAAATTGGTGTCATAAAAAATGTTACTTTGTCATTTTCTTAAATAAGAATTATGCCTTCTATTACTTCATATATATGGATGTAAGTGGAGTGACACACATATTTACTACTTAGCAAGGTAGAGTGACATAAATAGTACATACTCATTACTTACTCTTATTTGTCTAATACATGCGCATACTCCTTGCTAGTAGTTAATGTGTGAATATTATTTAGAGCACATAAAAGCATAAATAAATGTTAAATCATCCTTTATGTTAATGGAATCAAAATAAGTTGAGACTACTTTTAAAACTTAAGCAACATTTCTTCTAGAAGAAAAGGTGTATCACATAGAGTAAATATTTAAGAAGTTAAAAAAATCTAGTCATAGATAGGCAAAAAGACGGCCTAATTAATATGAGTTACTATTTATTTGTAATAATGTTGCACCTATGCTTATGTGTGAGATTTGAATGCATCATTGAAAGAAGAGTCAAATTATGGATTTAATAAAAAAATTAGACCTTTAACCAATTTGGTTATACTTAAATCAATGAGTAGAGTTAGGCTTTTGAAATATTGCTAAATATGATTCAAGACAAGTGAACTAATCACGATCAAGTCTTCCACTACTCCATAAATAAGGATGTTAATAAGGTGAAGTGACATAGATAGTACATGTGCATGTTCTATAGTGGTAATTAGCATCACACATGGACAAGTTTTAGAGCACATGAGAGCATAAATAATTGTGAAATTGTCTCTCAATGTAAATGAAATAAAAATAAAGGCAAGCTTACTTTTTAACTTAAGCAATATTTTTTATACAAGAAAAGGACGCATCATGTGTAATAAATATTTAGAAGTGTAAAGTAAAAAACTAGTTATGGATAAGCGTTAAAGAATACCTAATTAACATGTATTACTATTTGTTATGTAATAATGCTACATCTAAGCTTACAAATGAGATTTTAATGCATAGTTGAGAAAAGAAGAGCAAATTTGTGGATCTAACAAAATATTAGACCTTTAACTAGTTTGCTTATACTTAAACAAAATGACTAGATTTAGTCTTTTGAAATATTGTAAAAAACGGTGGAAGTCATGTGAACCAATTGCAAATTTTGTGACAAAAGATGTTATATTATATTGTTCTTAACAAGAATTAAGCCTTAATCAATACAAGAAAATTAATAAGGTGAAATGGTTTAAATAGTTCCTATTCATTGTTTGCTTGTGTTTATTTAATAGTATGAATGTTAGTTGTTAGCATATAAAAGCATAAATAATTGTGAAACTCTCTCTACGTATATATGGAATAAAAATAAGGTTGAGACTACTTTTGAACATAAGCAATGTTTCTTCTACAAGACATGGATGCATCATGTGGAGTAAATATTTTAAAAGTCCAAAATAATAAACTAGTTATGGATAGGCATGAAAAATGCCCTAATTGACAAGAGTTTGAATGCATTTGAATGTTGCACCTAAGCTTATGGTGAGATCTGAATGTTTAGTTAAGAAAAGAAGACCTAACTCTTTGAATTTGATAAGGAATTAGAATTTTAACCAATTGAGTTATACTTCTTAAATCGATGAGCAAAATTAGGCTTTCAAAATATTATTAAACAAGAGACATGCCCATGAACCAATCACAAATTTTGTAACAAAAAATATTATGTTACAATTTCCTTAATATTTTTTTTACAAGAAAAGGATGCATGAAGTAATATTTTAGAAGTCAAAGGTAAATAACATGAGTTACTATCTTATGTAATAATACTAACTACTTGCTATATTTTGTTTAATGCAAATATGTCCTCTTAGTTTATAGTTAAGATTACATTTATGAGCACTACATATAGTGTGTGGGCAGTTGTATTAAATTCCTTATAACTATATGATGAATCCATATTTTGTTAATATTTTATTTATCTTTTTAATATATTTTTAATGAAAAATGAAGTTAAAAAATATAAATACCATAAAAATTTCAATTATATCATTAATTCCAACTTTCTTAATTTAGTTCAATTTACATGAGTTTTTATGATTATCTTTTGTAATTTTGCTAAGTAGAATAATTGTGCAGGAATTTTTGGACAATAATCCATGGAATTTGAGCTCTTGAGAGAAAATAAGGTGGAACTAAGCACTTCTAGCAACTAAAATAACCACTTCAACAAGCTTCCTTTAAGGGTCAAGTGGAAGTAATCACTTCCAACATTGACAGTGAATACTATAGAGCCATTTCAGAGAAGTGAGGCTGCACATGTTTACTCTCATCATTGATAGTGAACACTCCAGAGCCATTTCAGAGAGGCAAGGATGCGTGTCATTACTTTCACTATTCATAGTGATTATGTGCAAGCCTATTTAGTTGATGAAGTGGTGATGATTTTCAACACACTTGGCAAGCGGACCAAGTTTCGTTGTAGTAATACAATATCGTCCTCAGGAATTTGATAATAAAAGTAATTTCATGTCTTGTTTGTATAAAAAAATGGAGAGCATGATTGGAATATTAATTTGTACTAAAATATATAAAAGCAACAAAACAAAATTTAGTAGAAAATCTTATGTGAGAAAGAGATTGGATTCAAATATACTTTCTAACTCTTTCATCTTCATTGATTAAATATTAGTCTCATTCTATTACTTCCACATTCATAAGTGACTTAACCAAATCCCTCAAAATTAAGTCATAAAATAATAAATCCTATGACATAATTCCTCTATGATATAAGATTAACACTTTCCTTTAATAACAATAACTTGAACATAAGTGGCTAACAAACGTAAGTCTATTCCTAGTACAAGAGATTGTTAGGTGTGTGATTTAGTTCAATTTTCAAAAGCGTTTCCCAACAGAGTTCAAAAGCCAAAGATCATAAAATGGGTGATCAAACCGAGTTAAGAATTAAGAATAAAATCACACTCAAGTAAGCAAACTAAATATCATATAAACTTAAAAAGTAACAAAGTTAGGAGTTATATCAAATCCAATCCAAGAGAAATCAACCACTCATGGTAAGGGCCATAGCAAGATACAAAATGAAATTACAAGAAGAAGAAGAAGAAATGAAGATGTGATCCTCGTTCCCAAGTGATTCTCTCCACATCTTCGTTTGCTCTATTTTTTCCTTGATTTTCTCTCTCTAAATGTGTGACTTCAATAATGTGTCTTTTTTTTAATGTTCCCTTTCTCCTTTTAAGAGCCCTTTTTATATGGGTCTTCAAAACAAGGGAGTTCGTGCAAATTTTTAACTTCACGACTACAGCTATAGATTCACGGCTGCAGTTGTGAAGAGTACTTCAAGATGAAGAAAGCTCCCAAGGCTATGGAGTTGGAATAATGGCTATGGCCCTAAGAGTCTAGAGTTTCTCTTGTCTTTTCATTTTTTCGTAGTGCCTCAAGGCTGCATCAATGGGATGAGGCTAAGAGAAATTGTACCCTAAAAAGCTATCACGCTATGGCCCTGGAATGTTGTCCTCTTCAATTCCTACACGAAAAAGAGAGAAATTGTACCCCAAAAAGCTATCACTCTTATACTTCTTGAATTAGTCAAATTATCTACTTGTGGGATTAACGTGCCCAAAACTATTTACATTTTAACCTAAAAGAGTGCCAAATTACTGATAAAACATGAATTTCTAGCACTTAACATGAAGTTGCGTGTGTTTGCTCCCAACAGCCAAAGTAATTACATGTGCTCACTGAAAGTGATCACTCCAGAGAGAAAGTAATGCAATGGACCTGCGCATAATCACTTTCACCATTCATAGTGATTACGCCAGGAAGCGTTAACTTTACTATAAATAGATTTTCACTTATATAGTAGGGATCTTTTTTCCATTTTATTGTACTTTCATTTTTACACACTTTTTAGAGGATTAGGTCAAAACTATGGGTGGCTACCAAGAGTTCATTTTTAGGGTTCTTATCTCTTCCTTTTCACTTTTATTTCAGTTTTTCTAGTTTTTGCTGAATATCTATTACTTGCAATGTTGAACATTATCTATATGGAAGGCTAGTTTTTCAGTATTAATTCCTAACAAGTTTATAATGGTTCTTGAAATCTTAGTTTATTTGCTAATACAAATTTCTTTCTTATGAATTTCATTTCCCTAATTTCTTGAGAACTGAATTAGGAATTGAATGGGGATTATTTTTCGGTATTAATTCCTAACAAGTTTATAATGGTTCTTGAAATCTTAGTTTAATTGCTAATACAAATTTCCTTCTTAGGAATTTCATTTCCCTAATTTCTTATAAATTTCATTTCCCTTATTACTGATAATGCCCTTCTTTTGGTAGCTACTGATTACTTCAAAACACTTCATAACTAAAGGAACCTACTGCGTTCTGGGCGGCTGAAGAACTGATCCAACGGATGCTGCGATGACTTGTTAGTCAGTCCTATCCTATAGGGTTGGATCAGCTGTTCTAGAGACGACTTTGGCTTGTAAACTGTGCGGGGGTAAGACGAAACAAGAAGTGTGTAACGCCCCGAATTGCGTAAATTAGTTAATGATTTTTTTAGAATTTAATTATTTGCTAATTCTAGCTTGTTAGCGTCAGAAAATTAGATAGATACTAATTTTTATTTTAAAAGGAATATTTAGTGATTTCTGAGTTCGGCATTTTAGG